TTTAACATAACTTTAACTTATCTTTAACATTAATTTAACTTAACTTTACTATAAAATAACTTGAACTTAACTTTAAATTTAAAATAACTAAAACTTAACTTTAACTTTAAAATAACTTTAACTTAACCTAAACTTTACTTGAACCTAACTTTAGCAAAACTTTAACCTAAATTTTACCAAATCTAACATAAATTTAATTTCTTTTTAGCATAACTTTAATTTTAAGATAGCTTTAACTTACCTATAACACAACTTTAACTTAATTTTAACATAACTTTAACTTTAAAATTACTTTAACTTAGCTTTAACTTACCTTTAACATAACTTTAACTTACCTCTAACAAAACTTTCACTTACCTTTAAATTAACTTTAACATAACTTTAACTTAAGTTTAACATAACTTTAACTTCAAAATTACTTTAACTTAGCTTTAACTTACCTTTAACATAACTTTAACTTACCTCTAACAAAACTTTAACTTACCTCTAACAAAACCTAAATTTTACCAAATTTAACATAAATTTAATTTATTTTTAGCATAACTTTAACTTTAAGATAGCATTAACTTACGTATAACACAACTTTAACTTAAGTTTAACATAACTTTAACTTCAAAATTACTTTAACTTAGCTTTAACTTACCTTTAACATAACTTTAACTTACCTCTAACAAAACTTTCACTTACCTTTAAATTAACTTTAACATAACTTTAACTTAAGTTTAACATAACTTTATCTTTGCTTTAAAATAACTATAACATAACTTTTTCTCTTACATAACTTTAACTTAACTTTAAACTTACTTTAACATAAATTTCACAAAACTTTAACTCTACCTTAACATAAGTTAAACTTAATTATAACTTAACTTTAACTTTAACATAACTTTAACTTTATTTTAACAAACTCTTATCTTAATTTTAGCTCTCATTTAATTTTAGCTTAACTTTAACATAACTTTTACTTTAACATAACTTTAACTTTAATATAACTTTAACTTTAAAATAACTTTAACTTTAAAATAACTTTAACTTTAACTTCAAAATAACTTTAACTTTAACATCACTTTTATACTTAATGAATGATTCAAAAAAACTTAACATTATCATAAAATCAACTTAACTTTAACTTTATAATAACTTTAATTTTAACATAACTTATACTTTAGTTTGAATAAACCTAAACTTAACATAATTGAACTAAACATGAACTTAAATTGTGCTCAACTTTAACTCAATTTTAACTTAACTTGAACGTTACTTTAATTTTAAATTAATTATAACTTAACATTATCATAACTTTAAATTTAACATAACTTTAACTTAACTTTAACTAAACTGCAACATAACCTTAACTTAATCTTTACTTAACTTGAAATTTTAACTTAACTTTAACATAAATTTAATTTAAATTTAACGTTAACATAACTTATACCTAAATTTGTATAAACTTCTACTTAACATAATTTTAACTTACCGTTAACTTAACATTAACTTAAATTTTACTTAACTTTAACTTAACGTTATCTTAACTTCAACATAACTTTAACTTAACTTTATCTTACACATAACTTTAACTTTACTTTATCTTAACTTAAACATAACTTTAACTTAACTTAAACATAACCTTAACTTAACTCTAACTTACCTTTAACGTAACTTTAACTAAATTTTAACTTTTACTTTAACATAAGTTTATCTTACCATCAACATAACTTTTACTTTAACATAATTTTAACTTTTTCAACCTTTTTCAACCATTAATGGGTACTTTCAAGTTAGCGTGTACAGCACACTATGGCCGACGTTATGTTTAACGTACAGAACAAGAGTAAAATCGGGTTTCAATTGAAACGATTATAATCAATTAAAACACTAATTAACTCTTGCACTGTAACGTCACCAGGGCATTGTTTTACATACAAATAAACATTGCCCACAGGGCATGCCAAAACTTCTTTTAGTGATTTGAGGCTATGTCAGTCGTGCAAGAGTTAATGGTGGTAAGCTCTACCTTGTAATCGCAATGTGCTATTTTATATGATTGCGTCGAGGATCGCGCATTGGGCACATTTATGAGATTATGAATGCGGAAACACTAATAAAAGTGCGGTTTTACGTTAAATTGTTGTTGTGTCTTCATCGCACATATTCCTTGGTGAATGAAGAATAAGTGCGCAGAAGGCGTCAAGACGATACAACGTCTAAGTGCACTTTTATTAGCGTTTCCACTCTTCTAAAGAGTTCAATTTTATTTGCAATTGATAATGTCACAAAACTATGCATAGGAGGCATCACTGCACTGCAAGCCACTTTTTATTGTTGTGTCATATGATGTATTCTAATGTTTTATGCGTGCAACAATTTACATCGTGATGAAGTTTGATTCTAATGTAACGTTTGGTTCTGTTGTCATTGGATGTATTCTGATGTTTTATGCGTGCAAAAAATTACATCGTAATGAAGTTTGATTCTAATGTAACGTTAGGTTCTGTTGTCATTAGATGTATTCTGATGTTTTATGCGTGCAACAAATTACATCGTGATGAAGTTTGATTCTAATGTAACGTTAGGTTCTGTTGTCATTGGATGTATTCTGATGTTTTATGCGTGCAACAAATTACATCGTGATGAAGTTTGATTCTGATGTAACGTTAGGTTCTGATGTCATTGGATGTATTCTGATGTTTTATGCGTGCAACAAATTACATCGTGATGAAGTTTGATTCTAATGTAACGTTAGGTTCTGTTGTCATTGGATGTATTCTGATGTTTTATGCGTGCAACATATTACATCGTGATAAAGTTTGATTCTAATGTAACGTTAGGTTCTGTTGTCGTTGGATGTATTCTGATGTCAAATTTTACATCGTCAAGACGTTTGATTCTGATGTAACGTTTGAGGCTAATGTATTTTTATGTACTTGGACGTCACACTGAAGTCTGAATACATTAAGGGTACAGCAATATACGTTAAAATGTAATGTATTGAAGATGTCTGCTGATGTTTCCTACATTACAATTTCTATTCGGGTTTGTTTACAATTTGCTCTAAAACCGCACTTACCGCCCCCCACCCCCCACCGCGACCTAGTCGCCTATAAATCGACAAAGCTGTATCACCATTTATATACCCACAAGGCCCCTATTACGGATGTCACTTCACGGTTGATTTGCCTGAAAATCACTTCACCGTGAATGACAACTTGTCGCTTCACTTCGTTTTCACGTAATAAAAAAAGCATCCCTAAATTGAGAGATTGCCGTAATAGCTCGACGCAGATGTCGCCACTACATGATGATGATAATGTTGACAGACTGCATATAAAATTCGTGAAAATTAGCATTAAATCATAATTTCCATCAAGCCTGCGTAAAATCCCTCCAATATAACATTCGAATTGAAGAAGAAAATGTTTTCACGATCAGACTGATGTGCATCTTTAACTTTTCCAGATGAACTTTCATAAGATACATTCATTTCATTTCACAGCTCCATCAATACTGCATCGTACATATGATGTAAACAGAAGTAAATTGCTCAATTACCCAAAATAAAGATGATTTGTCATCTTGTTATCACTTTATAAAACATCGAGCACCATTTTATAATATGGTGCGTGTTGAGTAAATCAAGCTCCGTTGCGTTTTCCGTCGAAAATTGTGAGTATCAATATGTATACCTAAAAAAGGCTAAAATGAACATTTATTGAATATTGGCGTCCTATACAACCATTTCTCCATTATCACCAGCATGATACAATCTTTCCTAAGTAAATTCACTTAATTTCCACTTTCATTCTAGTGGAAATCGCACATATTCACCATTTTCCGAAAAATGCAGCTGCGCAGGAGGTTACCTCCCCCTGTAGGTACAAACTTGTTATGCATAATTTACTATGAAAACATCTCCGATCCATACCGAAATAATAACAGTTAGTTTGCAAACACGTTTTCTTACACGATTCAAGCAAAAGTTTCCACCGGAAATTATTAGTTTTTCTTTATGTACCGATTTGCCCCAAAAATCGTCTGTTTTACTTGGATAATTTGGAAACTATCCTCCTTCTAGTAGTTCTTCACTTCAAAATGTAGGTGGCGAAAGCTTGTAAAAGTTTCACTACAAGACGCCAATCCCCGAATTGTAAAGAGAGACCTACATTTTTTTGCGAATTTGAGAGACCGGAACTCAAATATGAGTTGGATTCATTTGCCGTGTACTGATGTTAGCAACGAAACCAACGAATATATCAGTGCTAACATTTGAAAACGGCGCAAAAGCCATTTGTAAACAAATGGTTTGTGGGCCCTTTACTCGCTACCCGAAGAACGCCCACGCAAACCAACAGCATCGTCAGGAAGGGGAAAATTTCCCCTACCCGATCTTGCTGTTGTGTCGCGTGGGTGTACTTCAAGTAGTGAGTAAAGGGCCCACAAACCATTTGTTTATAAATGGCTTTTGTGCCGTTTTCAAATGTTAGCACTGATGTATAGAGATTGCTGACGTTTGTCGTACGTAGTGTGCGTCACGTATACGTATACGCAAAATGTTTTCATCGGGAAAAAAAACTTCATAGCGGAAAATTTTCCCGATGAAAACAAATCACTTATACAATCATACTTTAGCAATCTCTATAGTGAAAATGCTGTGAACATTTTGTGGTGTGACAACATTTTTCTGCTGATTCTAGCTCGGATTCTAGAGAAAATCTTCAAATTTACACATTTTTTTGACAGCTGCATATAAGTATTAATTTATGCATTTTTTACTCATTTATGTGTTTACGCTGGTTACCGTGTAGTTGGTGACAAAATCCGCAATGATAACGTTTTTTTTTGCTGTGGGGTTCAGTTTAGTGCACCTGACGTACTCTACTCATCTTGGCAAAAACATCGACTTTGTCGACTGCAGTTGACAGCGCGACGCGCCGGCATAAAGTCGACCAAATCAACAGAAAAGGCAATCTGTCAAAAGTGGGAAAAAATCTTTTTGTTGTGATGCGATTTGCTGCTATATTTTTAGCCGTATTTCAGTCTTATTTCACAAAATTTTACTGTAAAACATTTCATAAAGGATACTTGTCAACGGTAGGAGCAGTTGCAGCCAAAAGATTTGTTAGTTATCCTGCGTAGCATCAAAGTTAGACCAGAAGCAGTTAGCATTAGCAGGAATCGAAATGGATTACAACTCGTACAACAACAAAGTTTTGTGAGTGGTAGATTTGTGTGCGTTAGAGACTTTTTGTTATATTTACATTGTGTTTCAGTTCCGCACCCAGCCAACCGGTTCCCGGTAGTTCCGGCTTCTTTCCAGCGACCACATCGGCACCGTTTTTGAAAGTGCCAAATCCAAGCCTTGTTTTGAAACAGGAAAGTAGTTCTTCTGAACCGAATAGTGGAACGGCTACGCCTCCTGTTAATTATAGCCAGAGTGCCCAACACTATTTGGATCCTATTGGGCATCATGGGGATAAACATGTTTTCTACGGGAAACCTCTTGATCTACAGTTGGTTTCGAACCCTTACCTGCCGCATACGCAAACCACGGTCATCGGTCAGCAGCAAGTTCCTTTCCACATGACACACGAATACCATCATGAGCATTCCAATGCGTCGAGCATTAGTTCGACGGTAGATCACCATCAGCCGTACAGTATTCATGCTTCTCCGGTTCCCCATAGTAATACTAATGTGGTCGTACAGCATTCCGTACAGGTGCCTCCTGTAGTAATCCCTAAAATTACATACGCATGTGAAATTTGTACGAAGACATTCGATTCCAAAGCCAAGCTGGACAAACACCAACGGAGTCACAACGAAGATTTAACGTTCGAATGTCGGGTGTGTGATAAGAAGTTCCGGTCTCAGAACACGCTTACTTGTCACGAAAAGGTTCACGGCGAGAATGGCGTGGATAATAATTTTTCCTGCGTTACTTGTGGGAAGGTTTTCAAATCCGATGATAAGCTACAAATTCATATGCGTTTGCATACGGGTGAAAAGCCATACCAATGCAAAATTTGCATGAAATGTTTTAATCATCAGTCGAACTTGATTGCCCATTCCAGGACTCATGAGAAAGTTCGGAAAGCACTCAAATGTGATCGTTGCAACAAGGTACTGGACAACGAGGAACGCATGGCGATCCACATGAGACTGCACACCGGTGAAAAGCCATACAAGTGCTCCTATTGTGACAAGCTATTTAATCACAAGAGCACGGTTTGCACTCACGAAAAAACGGTTCACATCCAGGCCAATGCTTACAAGTGCGAGCGATGCCACAAAACGTTCAATCAAAAGTGTCAGTTACAATATCACGAGAAGCTGCAAGAAGCGCATACGATCGCGTGCACATTGTGTGAAAAGGTAAAAATTGTCACAATTGTGTTCTAAGCTATAGGTGTGATCATTTCTCTTTGCTTTCAGGTGTTTTGTTACAAAGCAAGTCTTAAAGAGCACACGTTCCGGGTGCATTTCCCTCGAAAGAATAGAAAAGATCGACTAGCTGGTCTCAACATAAACAACGAAGGCCGAAATAAGTTCTGCTGTGGCATCTGTGATCGTCGATTCTACTACAAGCGTGCTCTGACAATGCACATGGGAGTTCATGATGCCTCGCTGGATGTAAATGCTCTTTATTTCTCCTGTAATTATTGCCCGGAAACATTCACCGATGAAGAACCACTACTTAAGCACGAAGCTGAACACGTGGCAAATAATACTACCAATTTCATGGAAAATATGCTGGAGTTGGATAAATCCGAAGATCCAGAGAATGTCCTCGGACGGTATCGCTGCCCCCTATGTTTTAATCGTTTCGACGACCTTCCATCGCTTCATGAACATCACAAAACACATATCTGTTCCAATCCGGAAGAATGCGACAAATGTAAGCCAACCCTGGCCGAAGATAACGATTTCACCGGTAGCAATTACGATGAAAACGACGATAACCGTACCATACAGTGTCAGATTTGCGAACGAACGCTGCCAACGTTCGAGTTGTTCCAGAATCACTTCCACTATCATACGTCACGGGTTCCGTTCTATTGCTACCAGTGCCGGGAGGAATTCCCGGACAAGAAGGAACTCTATGCCCACTCGAAATCACACGCACCGAAGGAGGCGGATCCGCACACGTGTGAGATTTGTTCCAAAGTGTTTTCGACTAGGGGCAACTTTAGGCGCCACCTAAAATCTCACGAAGCCGTCCGGGCGTTTGCGTGCGACCGTTGTTTCAAGCAGTTTGATTACAGAAGTGAACTGGATCTGCATTTGAAAAAATCTCATGGAATAGAGTACTCGTAAGCAGTGGTCCAGCTCTGGATTATAACGGTTATGGTTTAGCGGTGCGCCTAGTTGAACTTTGTGTACACACTAGATATTTCTTAGAAGAGAAAAAGGTTTTAACAGATCTTTAACATATAATTTTACAATTCTAGATTACTTAAGGATTAGAAGTGAACCAATAAAATTAAATGCTAGCCCGGTAGAACGGCATCAGATCGGCGCTGTCTCTACCAACTGCATTCGACAAAATCGATTACACACAATGATTACGAGCCATGTATAAACGACGTAGCATTGTAGAGGGGTGGAAAAGGATTGTAAAAGTTGTGAACGGTCATTATTGGGTGGGGGGGGGGGGGGTTCTCAAGAACTGTCTACGTAGTTTATTAACGATGGAGGATAGACGTCAACATTATGCAACGTCATTAAGAATGCGACAAATGTAAGCCAACCCTGGCCGAAGATAACGATTTCACCGGTAGCAATTACGAAGAAAACGACGATAACCGTACCATACAGTGTCATATTTGCGAACGAACGCTGCCAACGTTCGAGCTGATGTCGTTGCCAATTCTAGATCGCAATGCAGCCCCCGCCAGGCTACTTATCGTCACAGTCAGGCCATCTGCATGTATTACCAGAACGCTGGTGGGATGAATTCCAACATCGATGATTATCGCTTAGCGGTTTCGGATCGTTGCTTCGACGTCATCGCTCTCACTGAGACTTGGCTCGATACTCGCACATTGTCAAATCAAGAGTTTGGTTCCGAATACGAGGTTTTTCGATGCGATCGGAATCCGCACAACAGCCGCAACTCTCCTGGTGGAGGCGTTCTCATAGCGGTCGGCGCTGGATTGAAGGCAAAAGTTATCGAAAACGATTTATGGAATTGTCTGGAACAAGTTTGAATTGCCATTAAGCTTGCTGACCGCACTTTTGTTTTGTGTGTAGTTTACTTTCCTCCGGATTGAACTTGCAACTCTACGCTAATTGAATCCCACAGTCAGTCTATTCGAGCTATAATGGATATCGCTACAGCTGCTGAAGAGATGATAATCATTGGTGACTTCAATCTACCAGCAATTTCTTGGCGATCATATTACGGTGGATTCCTGTATCCGGACCACGACCATTCTACATTTCACTTTGGAGTTGTAAACCTTTTGGATCATTACAGTATCGCTTCAATCAACCACGTGGTTAATGAGAACAATCGTAGCTTAGACCTTTGCATCGTCAGCGCTCAGGATATTGCACCGCATTTGTCTATGGCTGTTTCTCCGTTGATAAACACTGTTCCACACCATCCTCCTTTAGCTATTGCACTTGTAGGCAACCAAATTCCTGAGGTCATTCCACCTACTAACCACGACAGTTTCGGGAAACTTCTTTCGAATTTAGACTGGCACAGGATACTCGTCCCTGCCGATGTCAATGCAGCTGCCCAAACGCTCTCGCATATTTTGGCTTACGTCATTGAGCGACACGTTCCGAAAAAAGTTCCTAAACAAGGTAATCACCATTCTTGGCAAACAAGTGAACTCCGTATGTTAAAGTCTTCCAAAAGAGCCGCGCTAAGAAAATACACCAAGTACCACACCCTACAACTCAAGGACCATTATACGAGGACCAATCATGCGTATCAACGAACCAGTCGCCAATGTTATCGGCGTTATCAACGAGATGTTCAACGGAAGCTTCGATCTCACCCGAAAACTTTTTGGAATTACGTGAATGAGCAACGAAAGAAGTCTGGCCTTCCATCGACTATGGTACTGAACGAAGAAGCTTCATCCCCTCAGGACATTTGCCGCTGTTCTTAACCAAGTTTGCGAGTGTATTCTCGGATGAGAACTTATCTGACGAGCACGTTTCTCTAGCAGCCAGTAATGTTCCAATGTCTGGTCAATCTTTGGCAGCTATCAACATCGACCTCGCTATGATAACTAGGGCGGCTTCGCAACTGAAGTCTTCATTTAAGCCTGGACCTGACGGAGTTCCTTCCGTCTTTCTCAAACAACACATCGATAGCCTGGTGGCTCCTCTCTGCCTTCTGTTCGAAATGTCCCTCTCCAGTGGGGTGTTTCCTTCCTACTGGAAATCAGCTGAGATGTTTCAAGTGCATAAGAAGGCATGCAAAAGAAACATCGACAACTATCGCGGCATCACATCGTTGCGTGCCATATCTAAACTGTTCGTGTTTGTCGTTATGGAATCATTAGTCTCTCACTTCAAGCAGCACTTGAGCGAAGACCAGCATGGTTTCATGGCAGGGCGGTCGACTACTTCCAACCTTCTGTGTCTCACCTCGTACATTACGGAGAGTATGACCAACAATCAATACGAAATTAACGATTTTAAATTGGCTCACCACTTTAGTAGCCTATTGGTCCCAAGCAAACGATTAACGTACCCTATTCTAGTTGAAATTCTATTACTACACTATGTTTGTTTTGATTCGCTATGAAAGTTTGACAGATAACATCAGGGGTGTGTGGATTCATGCAGAACATGCAGGGGTGAGTGAAATAGCTTGGGACTGCTTGGGACCGTTGTTCTGGTACTGAGTGAGCCAAAAATAATAATGATTTTCTTCGGGACCCAGTGGTCTTAGAGTTACCTCTATGGTATGACGGGCCATATCCAAACAGATGTCATCTACACTAACCTATCAGCCGCCTTCGACAAGTTGAACGATCCTATAGCGACCGCCAAACTGGATAGGCTCGGTATAAACGGCAGTCTCCTACGATGGATCGCATCCTATCTATCTGATCGTCAGTTGGAAGTTGCAAACGACGACTGCCGATCTCCTTCGTTCCCTGCCACTTCGGGTATTCCGCAAGGTAGCCACCTCGGCCCGTTGATATTTCTTGTTTATTTCAACGACGTCAATTTCGTCCACGGTCCACGACTGTCGTTCGCAGACGACATGAAAATCTATCTCCAAATCCGAGCCATCGTTGACTGCCACCTTCTCCAACTCCAACTCAACGCTTTTGCTAATTGGTGCCAACTAAACCGCATGGTTGTAAACCCAACAAAATTTGCAGTAATCACGTTCTTACGGAAGAAACATTCAGTTATATCCTAGAAGGCGTTGACGTACATCGTGTGAATCACATTAAGGATCTGGGAGTCATCTTAGATTGTCAACTCACATACAGCCATCATATCTCGTACGTGATCGACAAGGCATCCAGAACGCTCGACTTCATTTTCAGGATAGCTAAAAGTTTCACGGACATCTACTGTTTGAAGTCACTTTACTGCTCCTCCGTCCGGTCGGTGTTAGAATACTGCTACCCTGTATGGAATCCCAATTACCAAAATAGTGTACAAATAGTAGAGTCTATTCAACGACGATTCATCTGGTTTGCCCTTCCACGATTGCCTTGAAGGGATCTTCATCGCCTTCCAAGCTACGAAAGTCGGTGCCAGTTAATTCACCTGGATCCTTTGTGGAGTCGAAGAGATACGACAAGGGCCCTGTTTGTGGCAGACATTCTACAGGGCAGAATCGATTGTTGTTGTTCTTCTATTCTACAACAAAACGACGTTAACGTTCAACCTCGAGCACTCCGTAACAACGCAATGCTGAGGATACCTTTTCGTCGTACAAACTATAGTTCGTATGGTGCTATCCATGGGCTACAAAGGGTTTTCAATCGTGTTGCTTCCTTATTTAAATTTCACCTTGCACGCGAGACGCTGCGTCAGAGATTTCGTGATATATTTTTAAGAATTAGGAATTAAGTTGGACTTCACGGCCTTTGCAGTTTGTTACTGCTAGACTATATTGTATTTCCTAGTATTGCTTAATCCATCATTAGGACTAAACCTAGTATGTTGATGTAGAACCAAATAAACAAATGGTCACGTACATAATTATTGTGAAATTTAAAATAATCCTTAATAATTTGAAGCATCGGTCAACCTTCTTCGTCCACGATTCATAACCGAAAGGGGCAGGCTATAAACTACGTCAGCTAACGAAGGTACCTAATTACAAACCTGCTTCAGCCTGTCAAAGACACAACTTACTTTTACTGGTCATAATTTGTACGATTAGCTTTGCCCTGTTGCACAATGATACAACTTGTTTCATGGTTCCCCCTTTCCTAGATCATCGTTTCTCAATCTATGGGTCGCAGTCTGTGCTCAGGTAAGACGCAAAAATTGACCAAATCCATGTTTTTAAATTTTATCTGAGTTTAGAATTATGATTATTCAAATTGAGTTACCGATCACAATTTATTGAAGTTTATTTTAGGGTCGATTTAGGTGGACAACGGGAGCCGAACTAAAACGTAGCCTCTTCTTTCATGCAATAACTCGGCTCCGGGAATGGATCGAATCAAGTTCAACCTGCTCAAGAACCTCCCAGACGTCACAAAGAGGCTATTGTTGAACTTGTTCAATCGATTCCTGGAGCTCAACGTTGTTCCGGATGATTGGAGACAAATGAGAGTTATCGCCATCCAGAAGCCCGGTAAACCCGCGTCCCATCGCGATGCTGTCGTGTATTCGGAAGCTGTTAGAAAAAATGATTCTTCTTCGTCTGGACAAGTGTGCAAGATACCTTGGATAATTTGTCTACTTGGGCAATGAATCTGGGTATCGAAATCTCGCCGGAGATAACAGAGATGGTTGTTTTTTCTAGGAAGCTTTATCCAGCACAGTTTCAGCTTCAATTTATGGGTAGAACAATCACTCACAGCATGTCGTTTAAGTATTAAGGTGTCTGGTTGGATTCCAAGTGCACTTAGGGAAAACACATAGCGTATCTGAGGCAGAGATGCCAACAGCGAACCAATTTCCTTCGTTCCATTACCGGCACTTCATGGGGAGCCCATCCGGAAGATCTGATAAGACTCTACAAGACCACCATTCTCTCGATTTTGGAGTACGGTAGCTTTTGCTTTCAATCGGCGGCGGGAACGCACATATTGAAGCTCCAAAGGATTCAATATCGTTGCATTCGAATCGCGCTAGGTTGTATGCAATCGACGCATACCATGAGTCTTGAAGTTGCGTTTTGCGGATTTATCGTTCCGGTTCCTCATCCGCTGTGAAGTCTTGAACCCGCTGGTGATCGAAAACTTTGAGTAGCTGCTAGAGCGGAATCCTCAAACACGATTCATGAGCTTGTACTAA